CCACCCACCTATGAAGATGACGGGTTACCAGATGGCCTAAAAGAATTACATTAGCACTATGTACATATGCAATACAAAAAATGACAAGCAGTTTCGTCCAAGTGGTAGGGTCCTTAGCACTACTGCAGGTTGTTGGTTCAACACTTGCAACTAGCATTTAAACGTTTTTACGTCTTTTTACTTGTAAGGACCCACTTTCGTCATGGAGTCTGTTTGTCACTTTCTTGATATAACCTTCCATTTTTGTCATATGACTCATTTGAGATTATTTGGCTATTAGTTTATTTGAATTTACGTGTTGAAATTTTTTGAGGATTTGTGTTGTTGAGTATTTGATTAATTTAGGGATTTTAACTATCAGAAATTTTTATGAATTTAGATATGACAAGGCAGCCCAAATGACAAAGGTACAATTTCATGTTTGCCCCCTCATGCCCAACTCCTTACTAGAATAGTGGCAACGTCTGTTTAAGCCCTCGAGCTGGACCCATCGGGTGTGCACTCCTGTGTAACCGTGTTTATCCTAAATGCACTAATCACAGGAGGAGAATCGGTGCCCACTACTATCTTTTACGGTTACTTAAGGTGTCATTTTCACTCCATTGGCCTGCTTTGTACTCCATTTATTCCCATTCTGATTACTAACATAGTCACACTTCCAAAAAACCATGAATTAGACATGCTGCATATGGTTACTCTAGAATGTGCTATGATAGGCATACTACTTTACTGCTCGTCGATGAAGTATAGATCTAAATGGTGAAGCACTACCCAACAAACAAATGTTAAAGGCCAGTAGTATCTGGGTAACTTTACCGGTCATAAACTTAGGAATGTATTAGAAAAAACTTGAAAAGCATATTCAATGATCTTGCTGACCTCAACATGAAAAGCATAAAGCAGGAACATCTACTGTGGTAGAAGATGGTAGACTATGATGTCTGGAAAGTTTGGCAGCATGGCAAGATAAGACAATGATTACCTTGTGAAGTAGATATATTCCCGAAAGAGATATAAAACATAATGATGAAAAGTGGACCCAAAGCCTGTGGAACAGAAATAAGTGAATTAGCAATAAAACGTACCTAACAAAGAAAATAATTAAACTGAGCCCTATTGGCTTATGTAATTTTGATTATTGCCCCTGACAGAATATATATATTTCTCTCACATGCAATTATTAGCTGTAGCCCTTAAACTTCCCATTACATCCATGTGTGAATAACTCCAGATACACACTAAATATGTATTGTTCTCGCATGTATTTCAGAATAGTTATATTTCTTATTAGTCAGGATAGTCCCATCGTATAGGGTAAATGATGATCCATTAATAGATAAACATAAGGAAGAGGATAAGAGATATACTAGATAAAAAGAGAAAATCCAAAAGCATAGTTAACCTATTCCAACACAAGCCAACCATCACCTTTACGATTTTCCTTTTCAATATAGTTAGTTCTCTGTTGGATAGTTGTTATTTGTCTAGGTACATCCCATGGCCCAATATTGCACACTATATGTTCTCGATATAAAATTGCATATTCTCCTCATCATTCATTTGACATGTATAAGATCTTGTTGGTCCAACTATTTCATAGCAAAAATGTTGGCTTCACGAGTTCTTCCATGTCGTAAACAAGATTGGATTCATGTTCATACAAAATACCACTACTGAAAACAAAATTAGAGAAACAATCAATAATAAGGATGAGTGTAACCTGTTACCATAGGCCAATACTAAAAAGATTTTGACAGCCATACCTGTTCGATCCTCTAGGGATATTGGAAATCGTGAAAGAGTTCATGGAACTTGAGCTTGAAGATAGACCAGGAGAGACAGAACAGTTGAGTGGCAGAAGAACCATCAATCCAACGACAGAGCAGACCACAAAAAACTTTATCCTGCCAAGTGAATTCATGAAAGACTTCTAACAGCTTAAAATCAGTAGGTTTGAGCAATATTTCTATGTCATTTGAATTATTAGAAATATGATACATATCTGGGGATAACTCTACAAAACAAAGAAAAAGCAACAATGCATAAGATCACACACACTGGGCAAAAAGTTCCTAACCCAATCATAAGCATGTTCTGTAAGGGCACTCAGTTCATACAACAATGGTCCAACCAGCCTCAACACTTTCCCTGGGATCCAAAGAATCTAATTTCTTGAATTTTACAAACTTCAAAATTGAAGAATTTCTGGAGCTGTCCATAACTGCATCAAAGATATCGGGGATCCTGTCAATTAAGAGGGTTATCCCTGATTTCCAGCATTCTGTTTTTAGAGATTTTCTCTATCCTTTCTTTAATTGAAAGGATTCTCCTTCTTTTGTATAAATAGCCTTGCTTTGTGTTTTATAATTAAATGGAAAATATATGAAAAGCCTTTTAGGCTCAACTCTGTTTGGTTTCTAGATGGTATCAGAGCATGGTTTCTGATCATCACCTTTCATGGAAAACCTTCCTTTAACTTCGGTAGATACCAACCAGACCAAACGGCTCTGGTTAGCGAGTCCACCAGCTCCACCACCGACCAAAACAAATCCAACAACCCTCCTCCACAGGTTCAACAAATGGTTGCTCCAGATATCTTTCCCATCACTGATCACAAGCTAAACGAGCAAAATTTTCAGCTTGTGGCCACGTTCCATCCAGATCTTCATTGGCGGCAAGGGAAAAGAAGACTATCTCTAAGGGGAAAAGCGTGTCACCCGAAAAAGGAGACCCCACTTACAAACAATGGAAAACCGACAACAATCTCGTAATGTCGTGGCTTCTCAGCTCCATGACGGCTGAAATTGGGGAGCAATTCATCTACTACAAAACCGCCGCTGAAATCTGGGAAGCAGCAAGGGACACCTTTTCTAATAAAGATAATACCTCTATTATCTTTGAAATCAAGAGGTTACTCCATGATCTCCGGACAGGAGACTCCAATGTCACGAGTTATTACACAATCCTAACTCGCATCTGGCAACAACTTGATACTCTCGATGAAAATATGTGGAGCTGTCCCACTGATGCAAAGCGATATAGGCAGATCCTTGAAACTGACAGGATCTACAAGTTCCTTCTCGGTCTAAATCGAGAACTAGATGAAGTTCGAGGAAGAATTCTCAGCACTAAGCCATTGCCCAACATTCGTGAAGTGTTCTCTGAGGTTCGACGTGAGAAAAAGCAGAAAAAGGTAATGCTTGGAAGCACTACTACCAACCCGTTTGGAGAAGGGGCTGCCCTAGTTGCTCGATACCCATCACCTAGTGGGAAATTTCAACAAGGTAATTCCCAGAAAAGGTCAGGACGGCCATGGTGCGACCACTATAATGTACAGGTTACACAAAAGATGTATGCTGGAAAACTAATGGAAAACCAATGGATTCGAAATCAAACCTCTCAGAAAACAATGGCCGTGCAAATATGGCAACTTCTCAAAGTCGTGAACCGTTCAGCAATGAACAGGTGACAGCCCTCCAGAAAATTCTCCATGACACGCTACGGGAAACTCAATCCTTTGATCAGTCAAAGACTGCAAATCGTGGCACAGAGGAATGCGTTGACCACTCATATGGAGCAAAACAAACCATGGATTGTGGATTCTGGAGCATCAGATCATATGACTGGTAACCGAAACATCTTCTCTACTTTTCAGCCAGAATCAAGTGGTGTCACCGTACGAGTAGTAGATGGGTCCAATTCACAAGTCACAGGTATTGGTACAGTTGTTATATCAAAGGAAATTGTGTTAAAATCTGTGCTTTATGTTCCAAATCTGGAGTACAACCTTCTATATGTTAGAAAACTCACCCAAGACTTGAATTGTTGTGCTAATTTTCTTCCTGATATATGTGAATTTCAGGAATTGAACTCGGACAAGAAGATTGGTAGTGCTAAAGTTCAGGAAGGTCTGTATCTCCTTAATACCAATGTGCTCGCCAACCCCTCCAAACTCAAGCCAGCCATGTTTACGGTTTCTAGCATAAGAAGTGATGTTATGTTATGGCACCATAGACTAGGTCATCCCAACTTTTTGTAAAGAAATCATTCCCTGAATCAATAAGGGATTCTAGTTTTCTTAAATGCGAAACATGTTCGACATTCCTACCCACCAGTTCCTTATAAAGCCTCTCATCCATTTTACCTTATTCACAGTGATCTTTGGGGACCTTCTCGAATAAAAAAATATAACTGGGTCATGGCGGTTCGTCAAATTAATAGATGACCACACCCGCGTAACTTGGTTATTTTTAATGAAGGAAAAATCCGAAGTTGGGACTATCTTCCAAAAGTTCCACATAATGATTCAAACCCAATTTTCCTCAAAAATCCAAATTCTAAAAACCGATGATGCTAAAGAATATTTCCAGTCCGAACTTGGAACATACCATTCCCAAGAAGGGATTGTACATCAGTTCTTGCGTAAACACACCCCAACAAAATGGTGTGGCTGAAAGAAAAAATCGGCACCTCTTAGAGTTTATCCGCTCTCTCCTATTAGCCAACCATGTTCCTAACCACTACTGGGGAGAGACTGTTATGACATCCGCATATTTGATCAATCGCATGCCCTCTCGAATCTTCACTTTCCAAATAGCACACCAAACACTCTTATCCACCTATCCTCATCTCAAACTCATGTCCCATATTCCTCTAAAAGTGTTTGGGTGTATAGCATTTGTCCACAATACACAGCCAAACCGAAGCAAACTTGATCCGCGAGCGTTAAAATGTATATTTCTTGGGTATTCTCCTGACCAAAAAGGGTATGAGTGCTACTCTCCATCCACAAACAAAGTATACAACACCATGGATGTTACCTTCTTCGAAGAACAACCATTCTATGCCAAAACCGATATTCCGGGGGAGCGTGGAAGAATACGGTTCCTGATATACTCAGAAACCACAAATCAGCTCTCACCTGTCACAAATCAGCCCTAACCTGTCCTCTCACATGTCTCAAGTCAGTCCTCACCAGTCTCAAATTCCTCGGTCTCAAACATGCCCTCGGCAAAAAAAAGTCAGCCTATTGATACTGAAAACACAATTCCAGAAAAAAGTCAGCCTATTCATTGGTCTGTTAATGTTCTACAAGTTTGTGTACCTCATTCATTTTCCATCTATTGGAACAATATCTTTGCAATATCATTGACTTGCAATTCATTTATCCTATCTCATACTAGGCATATTGGACTTGACTTATATATTATGTTCGAGACAAAATTGCTCAAGGCCATTGTTTTTCCCTTTGTGCCATCCATGTGGCAATTAGACATTGTATTGATTCAAGGATTAAATCATGACTTTTATTTTTAAAGTATATAATAGGCAAATAGAACAAATAAACTCACACACCCTCCTCACCTTTGGTGAGGTTTGAACCCTTAGACCTCCTAGGAGGCCAACGACTCACATACCACTAGTGGCCCTTTGGTGATTAAATCATGACTTGTGTGCTTTGCGGTGACTATTTTTCCAAGTTTACCTTTACGAACCTCCAAATATGCAGGGAGACAGTAAAGTATCCACTTACTGCACTACCACAGCCAACAAGCTTTGAAGTTCAAAAACATCCAAATTGACATCCAAAGTCAAAGTGCAGGTAGAGTGAATTAGTTTTATAGCATCTCTACTTGTAGCTTCAATGCACACTAACTATTACTAGTTCAAATACAAAACGAATATACAAGTACACCAGAGGGGGCCATTTTATATCGTTATTATGCAAGTAAGATGGTTGGAATATCTCGCATGCCTTAAATTTCTTTTGCTCGTTTTTTAACCAACCAGAACAGTTAGTTTGCAATGACAACAAGTAGGATGGTGAGCTCAGTCTCATTACAGCTATTGTGTTACTGAAGAGACGAATTATCCTAAAATCCGCATCTCATACACGATTCCCACAGTATCACAAGGAAGAAAAACAAACACACGCTTGAAAAAATACAGACAAAAAGGGGAAAGTATCGCTAACCCGAATTTAAAGAATCTTATGACAACGAGTGCATCAAGGCCGGAACTAGAAAGAATTTCATCCTCCGTAACTCTAACAGCATCACGGATCCAATCAAGTGATGGAAGGAACCGTTGAAGAGTGAAGGAACGATCGAATGAAATCGGATGGTGAAGAGAGAGACGACGAGGGTAGTATATGTTGGCATTGGAATGCTGTTTTCGCAAAATGGAGAAGAGACATAGGACGACAACTGCAAGGCCTATGTTGATGGCCGCCGATGCTAATAAGCTCGCGGCATTCATTTCATATGTTTGAGTTTCCGGCTGCTCGGCGGAAGGATGACGACGACGGAGGAATTTGCAGGTCTGAGGGTGTATGGCGTGCTTGCCACCTTTGATCGCACGTGGCGGACGTCAAGCGAGTAACCGCACCTTTCTGCGAACCATGTTTTTTGCCGGTTTGGAATTTTTATTCCGGTTTTTCCAATTTTTTATTTATAGAAAAAAAAAATCTTCCATGTTTATATTTTTCTCTCATAAATTATTTTGCTGAATAATTTGGTACAGAATAATTAAAAGGTTCTCATAATACAATACAAAATGAAATATAATTATTTGGTAAATGTTTACAATAAAATTAGGGCATTGAATGGTTAAGAGAAGCACAAGATGCAATATCATTCAGAAGTTTTATAACCATTAAGAAACATATTTTTTTTGTCAAACAAGATTCACATATATTTTAATGGAGCTATTAAAAGATAAACAAACAATTCTTGTAGTTATAAAAAGTTGATAAAGAATGTATATAATACGGATGTGAAATTAAAAACTATAAAATGATATTTTGATATAATTTGTTTCGTTTTAATTTGGGGGTTGATATCCCCACCCCCTAGATCACTTTTCACCCCCTCCTCCTCACTCTCACCCTCACAACTTTCCTTCACTCTCACCCTCACATACTCACCCCCTACACAATCTCACCCTCCCTCACATGCACCCATAGGAGGGGGTGGGGTTAGAAAAACCCTTTAATTTTTGTTATACATTTTGTACTTTTATCTAAAAATTATGAGAAATTTGTTGATTTAAAAAAAGAGTTATAATCACATCCTTTAAATACTCTCAATTTAACAATTTGGATAGACTTTTTATTTTATTTTTTATGGTTCTTTTGTTATGATAAAACTCTACATATTATTTAGGCAAAAAGTTAATTACCGGCAATTCTAACCGACCCCATATAAAGACACCAATGTGGGGGTTATTTTTTGACTCACTCAACGGCTGAGACTAATGAAAGAGCCTGGGACCAAACCCAAGACCTGTTATGCATATGGATAAAGTCTCTCCACCCTTTATCAACTGAACTACATGCTAGAAGCAAAAACTCTATGTATTATTTGATAATTTTAGTCAAAATAGACTACCATAAAGTACTAATAATTGTTGAACTGATAAATATCTTTTTGTTAAATCAATCTAATCCAATTTTAATAAATCATCACATATAAGTCATTTGATAAGACCATTCACATCCCTGCAATCTATTTACACTTTCAATTGTGCCACATCAGCTTTTGCAATTATCTTCCACACACCTGCAATTCACCTACAACACTTTCAACTGTGTCACGTCAGCTTTTGCAATTACCACCTACACACCTGCAATTCACCTACACTTTCAAAAGTGGTCCCCACTACAACATTTATTAACTATTTTATAAATTATTTATATATATACATTATAATTATTTTTTAATTAATAACATGTTTTATTTTAATTCAATGTTAATTAAAACGATTAATATATGATATAATATAATATAATAATTATATAATTTATTGTTTTAAATTTGAAACATTAATTTATGTAATTATAAAATTTAATGTTTAAATTAATTTAGTTATATTATATTTATATTTTTTTAAATAACATATACACATGCATAGAATATTTTCATATAAAAATAATTAATGTAATTAATACATATATTAATATTATAAAAATTAATTTATTTAAATAATGAGAAAAAAAAATTTGGTGAGGAGTTGGCGCCTACATGGCTTTCAACATAAATTGCAAATGTTGCAAGTGGGTCTCCTACGTGGATGAAATTTTTTGACAAAAGGGCTTTTGCAATTGGCTTTGAAAATTGTGTGTGGGTGCCCTAATATATCAAGATCATAAAAAGAATTCAGGGAAATCATTATTTATATTATTCTTTTGTATTAAATTAATTATTTATGTTAATTAGTTCACATACAACGAGAACAAAAAGATAACTGATATGAATGTTTGGTTCCATTTGAAAATGTAATTTTGGTGATAACAAAATTGGAAATGAACAAAATAGTATGAATGCAAACCCAAGAAGGCAGTGACAAAGTTTTTTCCGTACTCACGACAAATCGAACTTGTGAGGCACTATTTATATGAGAGACACTGGATATGACACAGATATATTACCAATTTCTTAAAATGTATGTTTTAAAGTAATTTGTATGAATATTGGATAGCTGCGAGAAATCCGGTTCGCCCCATTTCCCGATTCTAACCCTTTTTCCGGCGAAAGACCTTATTAGGTTAGGGTAACTAAAAAAATAAAAATAAAAAGATATGTAATAAAAATAGGATTCTAACAAGGGTAGTGTCTGATTGGTTTGAGCTTGGCTTCAAAGATCAAAAGTATCAGGATGTTTCAGGTTCAAATCCAAGGAGGAATAAAAATCCCCTTGTGGCCACGGAGGTTCAAATGTGGTGACACTGGGCTATCTGCAAAGCAGGTGATCGCCTTAGAATTAATCGGCTCGCATAGCGGGTTGGATATCCAGGTTAATTAAAAAAAATGAGTTGGTGAAGGAAAAAAATGCCAAAAATCGGGTTTAAAAAGGACTGCGAGTGTAGCTCGCTTCAGTTCAAAACTAGGCCCACTTTTAGTGCTTAGCTCGCTCCCACGCAGCCAAAATGCTCACGGCTGCGAGTTGTGTAATTTTTGAGCAAAAATCGATTTTACGCCAAACATGATATCCAACTCAACCAACACTCATAACACTTTTAAAATACTGTATTAAAGCTAAAATACGAGTATAACCTAAAATTATACTTACTCAAAAATTCAGTTGTTATAGTATGCTTATATGCAACAGAGAAGAGAGAGTTTTATAAATTAAATTAGATTTTATTTTTTTAATTAATATTTTTGACATATAAATCAAATCACACGAATTTCATAAATTAAAATTTCTTAAAAAAATGTGACTTTTAGTGTTTTATATTCACCATTTTTTGTTACTTATTAAACCCTAAATTTAACAGTAGCAAAATAATTGTGTTAAATTATGCATAGAAATGTATGAGACTAAGGGGCCGTTTACCCAATTGCTTATTCGGTAAGCGCTTACTGATAAGAGTTAACACTATGATTTATTTTGATGCGTAAGATTTTAGTATATCAAAACATATTGAATGCAACAATTTAGTGGGTAAACGTTTACCTGGGTAAGAGTCGTCATTCTCACTTACCGGGTAAGACTCTCCATCATTCTCATCGCTCTTACCCGGTAAGATGTTTGACCATTCTCATGTTCATCCAATGAGAAAATTTATCCGATAAGTACTTACCAAATAAATGTTTAGTAAACGGCCCCTAAGTAATATATAAATAGCGGTTAAATTAAATGAGAACTATAAATATACTACAAATCTATGAGAATCGATTTATAAATAATATTTTACGTGATATTTTTTTTATCAAATGCTAGGATCTAAGATATTTGGTTCACTTATATTTGTTTCATAAGATGATAATTTCACATGTATTTGTTTCACCACATGAATATTTTATACATGTAGTTTTCATTTCATTAGGTGAACCAAAAAAAAAATCATATGCAATTTTTTACTAGGTGAACACAAGCATATGTGAAATAACGTCTTAAATCGCAGGTTTTGATGGAAAAAAATCATGTAAAAAATATTTTTATCTCAGTTCTCATAAATTTATTACATTTTTGTGGTTTTCATTTGATTATCTTTCTATATAAATATGTACTTATATATCTCTTGGTTGGGTGAAAGCAACAACCCCATGTAAATTTGTAAAAATATTTCCATCTTTTACAACTGCAATTCATTTGTTTGTTGTATGTACTTGTGTATCAATAAATTAATATTATTTATTTGTTATACATATTTATAATAATATATGTAGGATTAAATTGAGCATGGACAATATTACTAAGGTTGATGGCATATTTATTAAAAAAAAAATCTTTTGTGGGCACAGAGGTTTAAATGCGGTGACTTTGGACTGCCCGCAAAACAGATGATTGTCTTGGGATTAGTCTGCTCGCATAGCGGGTTGGATATCCAAGTTAATTAAAAAAAATAGCAACCCACTAACTTAAAAGAGTTGGTTTGGTTGTACTTTATAACGGTTTAGGTTGAATTCAGATTTTTTTTAGATCACTATAATTTGGTTGGATTGTTTAAATGTTTCAAACCACCCATATCAACTTGCATATTACCAATAGGAGGGGCTATGAGCCTATGAACAAAATACATATTTTATTGATATTTTCATAAAAATTACCCATTCTGTCTCAAAATACAGGTTCACGAGATAAAAAACCATACAGTTTTAGGAATTTGTAATTATTATATATTTTTAATTAACAAAAAGAAATTTTCATCTTAATGACAGAGAGATAAATTTTATCCACCTCATAACTAAGGATCGAATAAAAAAGTAAACATTTATTTTTAGAAATGAACATTTATTTTAAGACAAAATAAAATAATAAAGTATGCACTTTAGTGGAATTCTTGCGACGTCGTCCGCGGCGAACCCCCCACGTTGCTGCGATCCTAACACTTCATCGGACCATTCAATCGGTAGGAGCGACGGACGGTGTGTACAAAAAACAGGGACATAGTCAACACAAACTGATGACTCGCGCTTACAAGGAATTCTGCGCTTGCCGACGGCTGGGTGTAGGTTGCGCATTTAAGCGTCGTCCATTTTCGGGGCTAATTGATTCAACAAGTGAGTTGTTACACACTCCGTAGCTACGGCTTAATTTGACTCAACACGGAAAAACTACTGAGGTCCAGACATAATGAATCGAGGTATAGTCTCTTTAAATTCTAGATAATGAATATTTTTGACTAATAATCACAAATATTTTTAATATCTATACTATATTATAAAACATTTGGTAAAAACTCTTAAAAACATTTTTTTGTGCATGAGGTACTACTTATTGATGCATATTACTTAAAATTTAAGATTACAAATAAAGTATGCATAAGTACAACTTGTTAAAGCTCTATGTTTGAATTCGTGTAACTAACCGCAGATAAATATAATCAAATACATGATAAATATCTCATTTTTAAATATAAAAAATTAAAATATAATCAGGATAATCATTGAGTTATAACAGAATACTTAATTATTATCTTTATAAAAAATTATGTTATTAAATCAAAAATAAATTACTTCGTTATTAAATCTAAATTAAATTACAATAAAAATTTGAATTAAAAAAATTACACAAAAATGAGAACTTTTAAATAATTAATTTGATAATGATATTGATATATTTTTTTCAAAATAAAAATATTGTTGTTTTATCAAAATCACATAAAACCGTATTATATCGACAGAGACAATAAATAAAAAAAAATATTAAAATCAAAATGTATCTCACTGCATTGCACATCTTTCTAATATAAGAAAATATTAATATAAAATATATTTTGTAATAATTATCTAATAAACAGAATATTAAAATCTAAATAACATAAATAATCGTTAAACACCCATCCAAGTGTCGTGATCTCTTCAGCGAAATATACACAATGGATTGCAAACGAACCACAACCACTAACAACACTCTCACCTCCCAATAAGAATCAGCCACGTCAGCTTCACATCCTATCCAACAGATTCCATTTCATCCTTCCATCCATTTCTATTTATCCATACTACTTCGATCATCATTCCGTCAACGATTTCAACAAACAGATTCATCGAAGATGTCTTTCACAATCTCCACAAGCTTCTTTCAACCGCTCGACCTGAAATCATCGCATTTTGGATCCAGATCGAAGCTTACCAGTACCGGTATTGTGTGTTCCGGCGCCGGAGCAGAAGACAAAAGCAAGGTAACCGATGGAAACGCATCGTTGAAAGCGTTGTCCGCAGCACTCGCACTCTCTTCGATTTTGGTTTCGTCGACGGTGCCTGCGCTTCCGGCAATGGCCGACATCTCGGGACTCACTCCTTGTAAAGACTCCAAGCAGTTTGCCAAGAGAGAGAAGCAGCAGCTCAAGAAGCTGGAAAGTTCTCTCAAGCTTTACGCACCGGATAGTGCTCCTGCACTTGCTATTAAGGCTACAATGGAGAAGACCAAGCGCAGGTAATTTCTATGAAAATTTACAAGGATTTCTGTATTGTTTCTACTTTTAGGCATGCAAATCGTAACCTAAAGTAAATCACCAAACGATTTCAAAATTGATAATAGGTCTATTCCATTTGAATGAATATCTAACCAATTATTATTTCAAATTCAAACTCAAAGCGAGGATTTGTTCAAATATCCAGTTTTGGTCTTCAAATTTGAATCCGAGTAGCTACAAATATAAACCGATTCATAATAGACATACACACACATTGAATATTTGGATATGGATTCACAATCAATGCTCCAATTTCTTTCTCATATTAGATATCGTAGTTCAATTTGTATATTATTCGAATTTGAATGGTGTTCGTTGAATTTGAATTTTGATTCAGTTAGCTAGCATCCATTTACTGATTTACAAGTCTATTTCTATGAATCCGAAAGAGAAATGATGAATTATATGGAATTGCTCATTTACATGTGTAGATTCGACAACTATGGAAAGCAAGGATTGTTGTGTGGATCGGACGGGCTACCACACTTGATCGTGAGTGGAGACCAAAGGCACTGGGGCGAATTCATTACCCCCGGGATTCTATTTCTGTACATAGCCGGATGGATCGGGTGGGTCGGAAGGAGTTACTTGATAGCTATTCGGGATGAAAAGAAGCCTACACAAAAAGAGATCATCATCGACGTTCCTTTAGCTTCCCGACTCGTATTCCGTGGATTTAGTTGGCCCGTTGCTGCTTACCGTGAGTTCTTGAATGGTGAACTTATCGACCCGACCGTCTAACTTCTTGTTTTGCTACAAATCTATATGTATCTAATGTTCTTTATTTTCCGATACTTTGTTTGTGGCTAAATTTTAAGGGATTGTTTCACAACTTGAAATGTACATTTTTCTATCGATTTAGAACATCAAACTCGGGTGCGACATTCGTAGCCGCAAGACATGAATTCACACACAAAAAGTTCAGTGGTCCGAAGTCATTTTGGTCCAAGTTTTTCATCCCACGCACGCGTTCATAAAAAATTCTAGTTGTAACTACAAGGGTGGTGCGTAATTGGTTTGAGCTTGGTTCCAAATGTTAAAAGTAATAGGACTTCCCAGATTCAAATCCAAGGAGGAATAAAAATTCTCTTGTGGCTACGGAGATTCAAAAGTGGTGACTCCGGGCTATCTGCAAAGCAGGTGGTTGCCCTGGAATTAGTCGGCTCGCATAGCGGGTTGAAATCATATGTAAATTTATTGCTTCATTTCCAAGTAGAAAATGGATTTCCACATCCAAACATTCATGTCATTTGCAATATTTAGAAGATCAATTTATCATTCACTCGTACTTTGTTTTAAGATCAATATTTAGGGATTTCTTAAAATTAATTAATAATAAAAAAAACAAAAAAAAATTGATAGACACTTAATTCATCGTACTATATCATCTTTCCAATGCACGTCTTGGTAAACGAGAAGGAGTGAGAGACAGAATTAAAAGAAAAAATTTATATTCCCCCCAAATTGATAAGGAATGATTTTTAGCCAAATCTATTATAATGATTGATTATTTTTTTGAAACCAAACATCATTTTTCATTCCATAATTGAACCAAACATAATCAATAGTTATCATTTCCATTCATTACCTTCTAATCTCCCCAACCACACACACCCTAAATTTTATCTGACCATCTAAAATTACCGATGCCTTCAAAATTGGGAAGACTACATGTATGGTATTCATATTTTATATCGAAAATGTCGTATAAACATCTAAAAGTAAATAAAAAAGCAACCTATGTAGAAAAATGTTCCATAAAATGACAACAATTATAGTCTTTGAAGTGCAATGGAGACATCAACATAAAGCTAAAACAACATGTAAAAGCCAAAACTATAGTTTTGGTTTCTTTTTTGTTTGCTTTCTACATCTTTCAGACAGTTGTCTTTGTATTTTTTTTCTGATCGGGTTTTAATGACAATTCATGGAGTTGTTCCATATACGATTTTTTTTAAATGAAGGAAAGTTTGTCAGGCTCTTTGATCCGTGAAGGAAAGTTTTATAACGTATGTTTTTAGTTGCATAATAGACATGGTGTGTTTCCTTAGTTATACCAAATACATAATATCAATCACAAGGGTGGTGTCTGGTTGGTTTGAGTTTGAGCTCCAAAGATCAAAAGTACCTGGAGGTTACGGTTCAAATCCAAGGAGGAATAAAAATTCCCTTGTCGCCACGGAGGTTCAAATGCTAGTTCTAAAACCCTCTGAATGGTTTTGTATCATGAGCCTCCTTTAACCATTAAGAGGTGAATTTTGTTTGACAAAAAAAGGTTTGTCTCTCAATAGTTCTAAAACCCTCTGAATAATTTTATATCTTGAACCTCTCTTAACCATTAAGAGCCCTAATTTCTTTGTAAACAATTATCAAATAATTATATTTTATTTTACACTATATCATAAAAGTCTCTTAATCATCATTTAATGATATTTTTTTAACCAACGACTTGCAAAGATATTGGTTTATTGATAGGTTCGAGAGATAATGGCTGAAAAGTGTCTATTTACGTTAATTTGCGTCCCACCAAAGTCCCATTCACTTCGGGCTCTATTTAAGTGATTCTCCCGTAGCCAAATCATCATCACACTCTCCTACTTCCGACCAAAAAACTCCGGCGAGATGATCGGAGAAGGGAAGGTGGTTTGTGTTACAGGCGCTTCTGGATTCATAGCGTCATGGTTGGTTAAACAACCGCTCGATCGTGGCTACTCTGTTCATGCTACTGTCCGCTCCCTCGGTTAGTGACGTCTCTCAATCTTTCTGGTTAAACAACTGCTCGATCGTGGCTACTCTATTCATCACAACTTCAACCTCTAATGTTCATGTGTTCTCTAAAAGAATCGCTAGTGTAATTGAGTACCGGTCAATTTGCAAAGTGATTTAAATCATAAATATCATTAACAGTCGACTAAACTTAGATAAGTATTCATCTAGTGATTTGCAGAAACCCAATGATTTGCCTTCGTAAGGTCAGGCCACAACAGTTTTGGATCAATATTCCCGCCTATTTTCATGGGGTAACTTGAATTTAAAGCTAGGTTAACTGATCAGAAGTTTAACTTTCGTTCCATCACGAATGAAGAGATGAATAATACCAATCATCAATCTGGAAGCAAACCCTAACTTTCATGTACTAGGCTTCTCTATCGACAGCCTGTTTTAGTCTTTAGACTATCTGTTCTTCTGGACTCTGTTTGACGATCTCATCTGCTTTAGACGACCACGACCCACGAGTCTCAGGCTCTCAGCTTCTGTTTCCAGCTTCTGTTCCAGACTTCCAGCTTCTAGCTTCTGTTTCCAACTTCTATTTCCAGCTTCTGTCTGGTACCACGAGTCTGGAGCCTGAATTCTTAATCTTGGTTGATAAGAAAATCGAAGCAGATTGGTCAATTAAACTCCCTCTGTTTTATATATAATTCTAAGAATATTATATGAACCGATATTTTTGGACCGCTATACCACCGGTATAACCACTATTTCAAATATCGGTCCGATCGCAATTTTGTATCTTCACCGCTATAACAGCGTAGAGAAAATCTTGAAGAATCGGGAGTTTATTAGAGTATAAATGGGTTATATTTGGGCTACTAAATGTAAAACTGGGCTTGCATATATTGTTGGCCCATGTTTAGTAGTATAGTTTTTTATTACTGCAATAAATTTCATATAATATGCTACAAATAGAATACCATGGTTCTAAATCCTGTGACAAACTTGAAAACAACGAATTTGACCTCAAAATTCAAGGTTATCTCTTCCATTTAGAATGGAGATAGTATTTAGAATTATCAAGAAGTCTACATGGTAAGTTACATGATCAATCAGACGTTTGCATCAAAACTCAACCGATTGACTTTCCGATTCTTCCTCTAACGGCTACTGTTCCATTCAAATGTGTGGCAGATGATCCAAAAAAGGACACAACACCTACTTGCTCTTGATGGAGCTAAGGAAAGGCTATCTCTGTTTGAAGCTAACCTGACTGAAGAAGGATCTTTTGAGTCTGCAGTTAAAGGCTGTGAATGCCTCTTTCATACAGCATCTCCTGTTCTAATGGAAGTTGATGACCCACAGGTTGTTTTTTCTCTTATCTTGCTCTCAATTTTTTGTTTGTATATGTTGGTATAACTTTTAAATCATGTTCGTGAGTTCTAGACTTCTACATTGGTGTCTAAATGTGCACATTCACGTGGAAATTTGATTGGGATCGGGATGGGACACACACAACGAATGAGTAGTTTGATCTTGTTTTAATGTTCTTTCTTTCTAAAGTGGCTGTTTCTTGAACCTTTGAGATTTCAGTAAGTTGATAGCTCAATCAACACATACAATAATTTGTTTATGCAGTCTTTCACTATGAGTTTTTCGTGCCATTGTGAATCTTTCACCCACATCAACTGTTTGCAGAAAGCTCAGTTCTTCTCATTTTCCATCAGGGACAATTGCTAGATCCTGCAGTGAAGGGAACACTTGATGTTCTTAAATCAGCTGCAAAAGTTCCATGTATGAAGAGGGTGATCTTTACGTCTTCCATGGCTGCAGTTGTGTTTGGTGGAAAGCTTCTGGAGGCTGGTGTTGTGGTGGATGAAACCTGGGTTTCAGATCCAGTAATTTGCGAGCAAAAAAAGGTATAGTTGCATAAAACTCTAATACGTAGGTCTCATTCTTTCACATGTCTTGAGTTATAAATGGTAGGTCAACCAAATTTCTGTAAACAGATTCTGGTTACATTATTGCTCGATGATTCATAGTTTCTAGTCTGAGAATCGTTCAACAGGATTCGTAATTATTGTCAGTCAGCTACAAATGCTGCAACTAATCAAGGACTTTGTGCTTTTCAGTTATGGTATGCTCTTTCGAAGATCCTAGCTGAGGATGCTGCTGTAAAATTTTCAAAAGAGAATGGTCTGGAGTTGGTGGTTATAAATCCTGGCTATGTGATCGGTCCTTTCTTACAGCCAACTCTCAACCTCACTTCTGAGGGCATTATGAGCTTGATAAAGACCGGTAATTGTGTCCTATGATTAACATTCATAAGCATGATCGATTATTGGGTGGACCTATGTAGCAGGCCGTGTATTCAAGTCCATAACCACCACTCTTTTTTGACCAAATTCTATTATGTACAAAAGGTTTTGCAGATTTTGGAAGAATGTTGTTTACATGATTCGGGTAGGGGAGTCTTTTGACTTCTGATAGGAGTTCTTGGAGACACAGGATTATGGTAGTAGGCAAGGGGTGGGGGCCTGTACTTAGCATAGATGGGAGGAAGGGAGCTCGAGAAGTAGAGAGTAGGGGGTAGGGTAGGGGTGGCAATGGATCGGGTTGGGTTGGGTTGGGTTGGGTTCGGGTTCAACCCATTTATAGAACAGGTTGGTTCATTTTCTCTTTTGCTTTTTTCAGTTTCTGCAAACGATAGCCTCTTGATCCTGGCTGTTGAGGTAACGTACATCCTGACCCTCCTATACCCTACTTTCAAGTGGGATATATTGGGTTTGTTTGGTTTAGTATCTTCAAAATTTTCTTGGCAAGCTTTCTTTTCTTGCACACTTTTCACCAAGCGATGGGTCTTCATAGAAAAAAATCGGTTTAGTCTTTGGGGTACGTAGACAGGTCGGCATATACCCCCGCTCCCCGGGGACCCCACCTATACTGGGCTCGTTTTGGATAGCGAAGTCTTTTGCATCGTCTTTCCTTCGCATTTAAAAATACTGTTTACTTGATTCTATGTCGTTAAAAGTGTCGGTCTATTAAGAACAATTCATTTGACACTCAAAAGTCGAACTTAAACTTTGTGGTGGGAGGAGGTAAGTATTACCAAAAGTATAACTTTTTTCACATTTACCTTTCTAGGAGTAATCTAAGGTTGCTTTTGATAGATGGAACAGGATGGGATGGGACAAATCTCACTGTTCCACAGTTGGCACAACATGGGACAGGACAAAACTCACTCTCCCACATTTGGTACGACATGGGCCATGACAAGAACTCATTATTCCATGTTCGTAGGGGACATGGGAAAGGAACAAGAAATGGGACAAGGTGGGACAACATGAGACAAAACAAGTTTTTTCTTGTTCCACCAAAATAGGTGGAAAAAGATGGGACAAGAATGAGACATAATCTAAAATATTACTAATCTACCCTTGTTTGATATGTAACCTTCATACGGTATTTGTTTTAATGGTCACCACTTACCATCGCTAGGAGTACTGTAGTTTACTAAATGGGCTGACCTTCTGGCTAACAATCCCAAAACATGAACAACCTAACAAATCCAACTAACGAAAACAAGATCCAGGTACGAATACGAAGAATGTTTTTCTGGGAACCTCTTTTATAAGTAGCTTAATTCATGCAGTTTCTTTGAACCTCTTTTATAAGTAGCTTAATTCATGCAGTTTCTTTGAACATTGTGATGAATGCATTAAGATTGCTTCCTAGATCAGCATGGAAATGGTTTGTTTCGTGCAACGAAGGAAGTTTTACGTTCTTTAAGCTGTTGAAATCATATATATGCAGGAAAGGAAGTATTCTCAGATGGAATTTACAGACTTGTTGATGTTAGAGATGTTGCTAACGCACATATATTAGCGTTCGAGAACCCAGAAGCTAACGGTAGATACTGCATGGTTGGGGCTGTGACTCGCTCTTCGGAGATCATGAAGATCTTGAACAAACTCTACCCTGCTCTTGGCTATTCCCAAAGGTAAGCATCCGTTCCCATGATTAGACGTATAGGGGGAAGTTCAAATGAAAACCATAAATGTTTTGAGAACTCGGGAATTAACTATTTCTTGTAGTATTCATAAACGAAATCTGGATCGTTTACTTTTTTTTTTCTCTTGAAATTTCTATAGGTATGAGGAGGGCAAGTGTGTTGCACCTGTTCCTTACGATGTATCGCGAGCAAGAGCGGAAAGTCTAGGCGTAGATTTTACCCCGATCGAGGTAAGCGTTAAGGACACTGTTGAAAGCCTGAAGGAGAAGAAGTTACTGAGCTTCTAAAACACCAGGTGAAGTTCATGGGTTTGTTTAAAGAAAGCATAATAAGAATGGCGTGAGACAGGACGTGGCGGTGAGGTCGAGCCTTAGGAGCCACCCTTTTACTATAGTCAATCACATGCGATACTAAATCAAATATGTGGACGATCTTTGGCACGACCTAGGTTGCGGGGACCAATTCTCTCGTACATCACTAGGCCTCCTCACGTGTATTGTCACACTTGATAAGGGTGTTCTTGATGTGATATTGGAATTCGTTATGTGGTACTAAATCAGAGATGCAAACGACATTTGGCCCAACCTAGGTCGCACAACACGTCTTTTGCACACCATCAAGTTCTCTCACGTATATTACCACATGTGATAAAGGTGTTCTCGTAAAATGGAGGTCGTTTGAAACTCCACCTATTATGTATATGTATGTATATATAGGGTTGGGTTCCGGTGAGAAAGAGAGTTTAGGTGAGAAGGGTAAGAAGGGATCTCCACCCTTAGCTGTATATTAGGATGAGATGCACCAGATCAATCCATGTATCAATTTTTGATTCATGGGTGGGTTTGAGATTTAAGATGATTAAGAGTCCAGATCCTTTCTTATACTTCTCAAATTATCTCTCTTTCTCGTACGATTCTTCTCAAATTAATAAAAGTAGAATGCTATACTAAAGGGTCTTTGATCTAGCGGTATGTGAGTCTTTAGCCTACTAGAAGGTCAGGAATTCAAACATCATCAAAAGTAAGGAGAGTGTGTGAGTTTATTTGTTATATATAAATATTATATATTTAAAAAGAAAACATATAAAATGTTTCTTTATAATACAAAAAATGACAAAGATTTATTCCGACGGTTGCAAGCATACAAATAGAAAAATTCCAATTATATTTTTTCGTATTTTTTTAAAAATAATAAACTATCATTCATAAACTTCTCATATTTGCAAGAATATATTACAAAAAATTTCAGTAATATTAAGAGTAAACTATAAATTTGGTCCCTGTTTGTTTTGATAATTTCAAGAGTTAAGTAGGATTCATTTTCGTTTTTTTATGATTTTTTGTTTTTTATCCAATCAAAATTGAATTTATGATTTTCATCTCAGCGATTTTTGATCAGATAAAAGACAAAAAAAAAAACGATAAAAGGACGAAAACGTCGCTTGTTTAACAAAATTTTCTAACGATCGTTAGAGATATAGACCAAATTTGAATGTTTTGACTAACCATGATATGGGTATTTTGTAATTTTAAAATTTTATAGACGAAAATTGTTATTTTTGATAAACCAGAGGGACTAAGTTTGTAGTTTATTCTTAATATTGTCGTTGAATTTTTTTTAAATAGAGTAAATAATGGATTTAGTCCTTTACTTTACATTACAAAAAATGTTAGTCCAGTTAAATCTAAGGGTATTTGGGTCTTCTTCTCACCTTTTTTTTGTCGTTATCTTATCAAAAAAATCATATTCTTTTTTATTCTAATATTATATTTTATAGTATATTATAAAATATTTGACAAAAACTTTTAAAAACTATTTTTTTGCATGAAGTACTGTTTATTGATACATATTACTTAAAATTCAAAATTACAAATAAATTATGCGTAAGTACTACTTATTAAAGCTTCTTATTTGAATTCGTGTAACTAACTGCGGATAAACATAATCAAATAGAAGATAAACATCTTATTTAAAAGTATAAAAAATCTAAAATATATTTAATATAATTATTGAGTTCTAACAAAATAATTAATTATTATTTTAATAAAAAAATAATATTATTAAACTAAATATAAATGAACTTAAATTAAATTATAAGAAAAAAAATTAAATTAAAAAATTACATTAAAAATTAGAGATTTTAAATAGTTAATATATTTTTGTCGAATTTTTATGATATCCTTAAATTTATATTTTATTCAAAATAAAAACAATATCGTTTTTTTCAAAATCATATAAGAATATACCATAACATCGACGGAGATACAAAATAAAATGAAATATTAAAATCAAAATGTATAAATACATGTATGTATATATATATATATATATATATATATATACCACATAGAGATCGTTCATCATCCCCCTCCCTCTTCGATCCCATCCCGGCCCCCTTTTTTCTGGTGACCCCATATGTGGCAATGATTTGGGGTAATGGTAATGGTGAGCTACCAAATCAGAGAAAACAAAGCCTTTCAATGAGTTCATTTTCCGATTACTGGTTTATTTTGTTCCTCTCGCCAGACGTTTGAACGGAGCGGAGATCGTCCTTGTCGAGAGTTTGTCTGAGGTTTGGCCGGAACG